CCCGGAGAATTACAGACCCCAGGGTGGGGGACAGGGAGGGAAGCAAAGGGTAGAATAAGGGCGTTTTGAGGGACCAATGGTTCCAGACAAGGAAACTAAGACGAGTCAGATTGTTTAAGTGATTCACCTGCGGCCACACAACTAGCTAGAAGGAGGGTTGAGATGAGAACAAAATTCCTGCTTTCCAGGAAGAAAAATGTTAAGTTTCAGCTCCACCACCTGAATATTCATTAGACTTAGAACCAGGCATAGTATAAGATAAATGTTACATTTCATGTGATATACTTAATATGTGTAAATATGTCTACATGTTTCAAATTTTTCTGGGCCTGTAAGACATCTTGTGTGGGAGGGACGCCTGGGTGGGTCAGTCGGTTAAGCTCCTGACTCTGGATTTCTGCTCAGGACATGATCTTATGGTTTGTGATTTCAAGACCCACGTTGGGCTCTGAGTGTCAGACTCGCTCTTTCCCTCTCCCTCTGCCCCTCTCCTGCTCATTTTTTCTCTCTCTCTCAAAATAAATGAATGAACATTAAGAAAAAAAAAAAAGAAGAAGAAGAAGAAGGCTTGTATGGGAGTCTCATACCTTAGTATTTCACCGGGGTTGCTTTGTCCGCAATATCGTGCCAACACAGTAGCAGACTTTGTCATCGGTTCTCTGTCCTGGCCACGGGTCCCCTTTCTCATGGCAGCTGTTTTGCCAACCCCATTTCCTGACTGGGAACGCGCCCCGTCAGCTGTGGAAAGCAAAACCCAAGAAGCACAAAATTTAATGGTCGCGTACACTTATTTAAAAATAACGATGCATGCCGGGCTACTTATGTTAAGAATCTTCTGCACACATGTTTCAAAGCCAAAGTGCACCAAATTTCCAAAATAAAGCCTGTGGAAACATTAGCAGGCGTGAGTGCACTCAGCAAGCTGATGGTCCCCAAAGCCAGATGTGAGGATGGAAGGCCGTGGAGAAATGCAACAGCGGTTTTCAAGTTAAACAAATTTTCCAAAACAGTAAACAGGGCTAGTGGATAAGATCTCAGGTCAACAAAGGGAGTCAGGGAAGAATCTAAGCGGAGTCTGCGAAGGGAAGCCTTTGGGATGAACGCTTGAAGATTTGAGTTATATATATTTACTCAAAAATATTGTGGGGCGCCTGGGGGTTCAGTCGGTTAAGCATCTGACTTGGGCTCAGGTCATGATCTCACGGTTTGTGGGTTCGAGCCCCACGTCGGGCTCTGTGCTGACAGCCAGCTCTGAGCCTGGAGCCTGTTTCAGATTCTATACCTCCCTCTCTCTCTCTGGCCCTCCCCTGCTCATGCTTTCTCTCTCTCAGAAATAAATAAAAAATATATGTATATTTTAAAGCTCCTACAGTGTGCCCAGTGTTGACCATAATAGTTTGTTAATGTTAATGGTCTATGTGTTTATTTCCATTTTTATAGATTCTTTGTGATAAACTTTCAGTTCCAATATTGGCCAGCTATAGCAAGAACCCAGAATCTTCCTGGGACCTTCCTGACTACCTGGAACATGCCTTTTTATTTTTCTGTTTAACCTCAGCCAGAGATTGGGAATGGTAGCACTTCAAAAGTATCTATATATCTATATATATCTATTCTCTCTTCCTTTTTTGGGTTGAATAGCTGTTTTGAGCTTTGAACTGCCATTGCTGTTCCTCTATTAGGGCATATTATCCAGAAGATTTTCTGTCTTGTTAAAATGCAGTACAAGCCCGGGCACCTGGGTGGCTCAGTCTGTGACGCATCCGACTCTTGATCTTGGCTCAGGTCATGATCTCACGGTTCATGAGTTGAAGCCTCGTGCTCGGCTCTGCGTTGATAGCACGGACCCTGCTTGAGATTCTTTCTCTCTTCCTGTCTCTCCCTCTCTACCCCTCCCCTGCTCTCTTGCGCATGCTCTCACTCTCTCAAGAATAAATAAATAAATAAATAAATAAATATATTTTTTTAAAGCAATACAAGCCAACAGCTATTCAGGGGCTTCTAATTTCTCCTGTTGTATTTGGCCTTCAATAGAATACCTTTCTATATTAGAAGCTATTGTCCCGTTTCATATCATGTTATATCGTCTTTGTATTTTGAGATCCCTTTTGAGCTTTTTTTTTTTTTTGAATTTCGCTTTCCTCCACATAATGGCCACTTTGTAAGGCCTGTGCCTGAGGAAAGACTGAGATGGAAGGAGAGGGGGAAGCGGACAGAGTCCCAGCCCGAGTGGGACCGGCTGTAGGATGGGCTGGTGAGAAAGGAGGAAACGCGGACCTGTGCTCAAGGCACCAGCTCAGCTATAGGACGGGTCCAGGAGGAGAGCGCCAGTAATTCAGTTTTCCGTGTTCAGTTGTGTTGGGTAACCTTGGACTGTCCTATTTTGATGCACTTTGATGTCCTATTTACTTATTCAGTAGACTTCCAGTTTGGCCACGATGGAGTCGCTGGTGTTAAATGTGACCTCTTACTACAAATAGCTTTAAAAAATGGACAGAACTTAAGCAATAGTTTCCAGGCATTGGACAGTGAGTAGCTTAGAGCCGTGATCTCTGAACCAAGGGAAGCAGGTGAGATGACCTCCACATTCACCCTGGCTTCCCGCTTGGGCATGATTTGCAACCCACAGTGCCGGAGAAGCATGCCCTAATAACCTCATTACCATGTCTGTCTTTGTGTGGTGAGAACACTTAGGATCTACTCTCTTAACAAGTTTCAAGTATATAATACAGGGTTCTTAGCTATCATCACCACTCTGTGCATTAGCTCCCCAGAACTTGTTAATCTTTGCAGCTGGCAGTTTACACCCTTCAACCAACATCTCCCAACCTCCCCCAGCCCCTGGCGGCCGTCACTGTGCTCTCTGTCTCTCTAGGCTCTGGGGTTTGGATTCCACGTAGCAGCACGATCCTACCATATTTGTGTTTCTCTGTCTGACTTAATCTCACATAGCATAAGACCCTCAAGGTCCATCAATGGTGTCGCGGATGACAGGATTGCATCCTTTCTTCCTGGCTGAGTCATACTCCGTTGTGTGTGGACCATGCCCTCCTCATCCACTCACCAGCTGACAGATGCTTAGGTTGTTTCCACGTCCTGCCGACTGTGAATAAAGTGACTGTGAGCATCGAGGTGCAGGGGTCTCCTTGAGATGACTCTCCCTTTTTGTCATGGTCTTGAAATGGTAATTTTACTTTTCCCTCTATAAATTGTGCCCCCGCCTCCGGTTTTATTGAGGTATACTTGACAAATGGCACCGTGTACGTTGAGGTATCTGGCATGAAAGTTTGATTTATGTGTTTTGGAAAATGGTGACTACTCCAAGTTTAGCTAGTATCCATCATCTCATGGGGCACAATACAAAGAGAGTGCAAACATGGAAAAGAAGATAGTTTCCCCTGGTGCCGAGAACATTGGGACTTATCTCTTCGCACCTTTCCTGTGCGGCGTCACACACGTGTTAGCCGCAGGCACCATGCCGGCACCGGCACCCTAGGACCTCGTATCTCACAGCCGGTGTCTTTTGACCACCAGCTCCACTCTCTGTCCCCCACCCTCCACCTCGGGTGACTGCAAGTCTGATCTCTTTTTCTGTAAGTGTGGGTTCTTTTGTTTCGTTTTGTTTTTAGAGTCCACATATAAGTGAGATCATACAGTATTCACCTTTCTCTGACTTATCTCACTTAGCAGAATGCCCTCAGGGTCCATTTATGTTGTTGCAAATGGCAAGATTTCCTTGTTGTCTATGGCTGAATAATATTCCATCTGTGTCTCTCTATATACATATAGATAGATTTATCTATATATTGTGTGTATATAAGCTTATATGTAAATATATAGTGTGTATATATTGTGTGTGTATATATATGTGTGTATATATATATCACAACTTCTATATCCATTCATCAACCAATGGACACTTAGGCTATTTCCATATCTTGACTATTGTAAACAATGCTACAATGATATCTTTTGAAGCTAGTGATTTCATTTCCTTTAGTTATATTCCCAGAGGAGGGATTGCTGGAGCATATGGTGGTTCTATTTTTAAGCTTCTGAGGAACCTCCATACTGTTTTCCACCGTGGCGGCACCATTTACACGCTCACCAGCAGTGCCCAAGGGTTCCCATTCCTCCACATCTTCGCCAGTGTTTGTTATCTCCTATCTTTTTGACGATGGCCATTCTAAGAGGTGTGAGGTGCTATCTCATTTTAGTTTTCATTTGCATTTCCCTGATGACTGGTGATGTTGAACATCTTTTCATGTACTTGTTCACCCTTTGTAGATCTTCTTTGAAAAAATGTTTATCTGGGTGTCTTGCCCATTTTTAATTGGATTATCTGGGTTTTTTTTGCTATCTTATTTTCCCTTCCTAAAGCTGTAGCCCAAATATGATTTCCCATAGCATAGCCAAAGTAGGATGGAGTTCTTATTTTATTTTTTTCTAGGCTTATTTGTTTATTTTGAGAGAGAGCGAGAGTGGGAGTGGGAGGGGCAGAGAGAGAAGGAGAGAGAGAATCCCAAGCAGGTTCTGCACTCTCAGCAAAGAGCCTGATGTGGGGCTTGAACTCACAAACAGTGAGGTCATGACCTGAGCCAAAACCAAGAGTTGGACACTCAACTGACTGAGCCCCCCAGGTGCCCCTAGAGTGGACTTTTTTTTAAAGAACTTTTTAAACATCAAGGAGAACAAAGGGGAAAGCCAGGAACTTACGAGAAGCGTAGGAAGAGCTTCGCTTACAAAAGATCTGACTTTAGCAGACTTGACTGGGAGCAGACACTGTGCCAGTCACTTCTTTCCTCCCCGGGCCCTAGAGGCTGGTACGGGTTCTTCTTTCCCACTCCTGGCCTGCGTCCATGTGGAAGGCATTACTAATGGCCCACAGGCTCAGCCCCTCAGACTTGGTGAGGTGCTCAGTGCCTGGTCAAGAGAGTGATTCTACCTTATCTACCTTTTTATAAGGCCCTTCCTCTTGGTTCTTGTTTCTGGATTGATAGACTCTTCTCAGTCCCCGGATGATAAGCAAAATTTTGATAACGGACGCAATGCATCGTGTCACTCTTCAAGTCAGATCCAATGCACGGGATGCAAGTCCACCAGGTAAGATGCCTGCCCACACACCCCCTCGGCCCCAATGTGACAGATGGTACGAGAACATCATGGTGGTGGGCCCTTTCACGAACATTTGGTTGACATGGGAGCCTGCTGGGTTTCTTTCTCCCCAATACTCTGCTGATGTTTTGCCTGGTGTTTTAGTTACCTATGGCTGTGTAACAACCCGTCCAAAACAGTGGCTTAAAAAAATAGCAGAAGTCCATGGGTGCGTGGGGCTTGACTGCACCAGCTGGGTGGTCCTTGCTTGGGGTCTCTTATAAGGCTGGGGGCAGTTAGTGACTGTGGCTGGGTTATCTTGAAAGCCTCTTTGGTCACATGTCTGGCACCCAGGCTGGGCAGAGTGGCTGGCGCTCGGCAGGTGCCACTGTGTCCCTGTCTTTGATCTTCCCCCAAGCAGCCTCTCCCGGATGGACACTCCCTACATGAGCACTGAAGCCTCCATTCACTGGCAGTTTGCGACTCTCTATATTTCCTGTTCGACATCACCACGTGGGGATGAAAGACAACTGTACATACTCAGATAAACAGTGTGCATCTGGGACCACAGCAGTTGAAATTGTATATAAACAGGAAGAGAAATTTCAAGAAGGCATCTAGTATACAAGTCTTAGATTGTCTATCAGGTTTTTAGTATCAATGTACTACTTCCCGAGGATCAAGCCCAGGAGGGGATAAATCTGGGCGTCCTGTGTTTTGGGGGCTGGTGATGCTGTCATGGACGGTGGGAGGGCAAGGCATGTGATATAGGCTCTGTCTGCCTGGATTCAAACCCCACCCATCCCCCTGGCACAACCACATCCACTGGGGGCTCTCCAGCAAATTCCTCCAACCCCTCTCGGCCTGCTTTCCCTTCTCTGAAAAGCGAGGATCAGAGTAGCACCTCTCTCATTGTTTTTATGAGGCGTGGATGAGCTATTTCACCAAAAGCATTCAGAACATCTATCTGTCCATCACAGAGTAACGCTCAAAAAAACTGGTGGCTATGATTGCCATGGACACAAGATCTTAGAATTTTTGCCAGGAAGCATCGGATTTTTATTGACAAGCTTTTGGCCTGACGTCCCCATCTCTCAGAAAATGTTGATGTGAGTATACATGAGTAGACATAAATAGAAAGAAGAAGAAAAACGTTCAGATGGGTCTGACACAAAGACAATTCTCCTTCAGCAATTAGGAAGCTATGAAAGGAATGAGAGCAGCCAGTGTTCTCAGCACGTTTCCAAACAACGTGGCTCAAGGATCCAAGACATTACAGGCAGGACTCAGTAACCCGGGAGCTCCTTTGCACGGCCCCGTGACAGGTTCAGGGCTGACTGCAATTTTCTTCCTCTTCTTCTTCTTCTCCTTTTTTTGGCAGCAAGAAAATTTGCCAAGCAAGCGTATGAAAATCGGAATTGCCAAGAGGGCACAAAAAGCAAACACATTTCCCCGTTTTGAGGAAGCATCAAGGTTGAGCCTCGTGGATGTTGTCCTGGATGAAAGAAAGCACAGGCTGCTGGCTAGCAAAACATGGAACGTGATGACGCTGTGATGAGCTGGGAGAAAATGGCAAGGAAACATCGTAAAACGTGGAGCATGATGGGCGCTGGCTTGTCAGTCAGAACTGCTGGAATAGAGCAGCAGAGCAGGGTGGCAGAGCGACTGTTTTTCCTCTCTTCCAACTTGGCAAGCGGAAACACAGCAGCATGTCACATTTCTTTGTTTTTCTCGACATAACCATGGCAGGTTTGTAGAATGGATTGTGGAGTCATCGATGATGAAAATACAGCAGATATGCCACTTGAAGGCATAAAACCGTAGTTCTGTTGAGTAGAAATGTCCTGTTGCTTATTTATATTCTGAAAATTACACAGTGGGGCTTCTCTTGGGTAATTTACGTGATGGCAAACCATCCATCTTTGAATACATGGCTTTCAGATAGTGTGGATTTTATTCACGTCCAGTCAGCATTAATCACATTTCCCATCATGATTTATGTGACAGTCAGGAAGTCCCAACTCACATCATTAATCAAGGAGACTCAATTTATTTTTTTCTTTTTTAATTTTTTTATCATTTAGTTATTTTTGAGACAGAGCATGAGCGGGGGAGGGGCAGAGAGAGGGAGACACAGAATTGGAAGCAGGCTTCAGGCTCTGAGCTGTCAGCATAGAGCCCGACACGGGGCTCCAGCCCACGAACTGTGAGATTGTGACCTGAGCCAAAGTCGAGGCTTAACCCAGGTGCCCCAAGGAGACTCAATTTCGATTTGTTCTTCTGTGAAGGGTACATGTAAGTCCAGCGATTTGGTTTGGTGGTAAGTTAATGGGTGTTTTTCACAGAGGTAGAAGGTATGTTCTGTTATAATGCAGTATTTAATTTTATATGTTTTCCTAACTAGATAAGAAATCTGAGTGATGATTCAGATATTTTAACAACCAAATTATTCTTAGCATATTCTTTTAATTTATTTACTGGGGGATTAATCAATTCTAAGGTAACAGAATAACCATAGATCTATGGAGAATATATTTGGCATGCCATATTAAAGAAAAACGACTAATGTGTCTGAACCATTTTATTGATTTATCTATTTTTAATGTTTATTTATTTTTAAGAGAGAGAGACAGACAGAGCATGAGCAGGGGCGGGGCAGAGAGAGAGGGAGACACAGAACCCAAAGCAGCTCCAGGCTCCGAGCTGTCAGCAGAGTCCCATGTGGGGCTTGAATTCACAAACTGCGAGATCATGACCCTGAGCTGAAGTCGGACACTCAACTGACTGAGCCACCCAGGTGCCCCGAGCCATTTTTTTTCGTTTATAGTTTATTGTCAAGTTGGTTTCCATAGAACACCCAGTGCTCATCCCCACAAGTGCCCTCCTCCATGTCCATCTCCCCCTCCCCCCCACACCCATAGGTCCTCAGTTTGTTCTCAGCATTCAAGAGTCTCTCATGGTTTGCCTCCCTCCCTCTCCCCCACGATGTCCCCCTTCTTCTCCCCCACGGTCCTCCGTTAAGTTCCCCCTAATCCTCCTATACGTGCAAACATATGGTTTCTGTCCTTCTCTGCCTGACTTATTTCACTCAGCATAACACTCAGTTCCATCCACGTTGCTACCAAACCATTTTAATTGACAGAGATAACAAACACGTATTCCATGTGCAGGTGTATGTTTTGAAAAGTGACTTTGGAGTCCAGCATGTGGGGTGAATTGGCAGCTCAAGGACTGGAGGCACACAGACCAGTTTGGACATTATTTCCAAAGGTCTGGGAAGGAGGCGGGGAGCTCCTGACCCCAGGCAGTGGCCCTCAGTGGGAAGCAAGGGGACAGTGAGCAGAAACCCGTGAGATGCACGGGATGATGCATGGGGCAGCAAGTCATGTGGGCAAAGTGGGAGAAGATGCTTTACACAGGGCTGTAGTGACACCGACGCCTTCCTTCCAGTGTCTTTGTTCTTCACTAGGAGCTGCGGCCATGCTTAAAAATGATTATTATAGGAGTACTTAAAAATATACATAGTGTTCACTGAGGGTTGTCCCTCTGTGCTGAGTCTTTTATCAGTTCATTTAGAACTCCAGAATTTAAAAATAATCACACATTCATAGTTTTTTTTTACTTTGTGTATACATTATTCATATTTCATATAGACATAAAATGTACTTGCATATAAAATGGGGAGAAATGACAGATCTAAGTAAGTGCAGAAATATACCATGCTTATAAATTAGAAGACTCAACTTAGTTACACTGTAAAAGCTTCCCAAACTGATCTTTAGATTCAATTGGATCTCAATCGAAAGCCCAGAAAAGATGGATAAGCTCATTGTGAAACTTACACGAAGTGCAAAGAATATGGAGGAGCCAAAACAGTCTTGAGAAAGTACAGCAAAGCTGAAGCCCTCACACAGTCTGATTGCAAGACTTACTACAAAGCTATGATATTGGTGTAACAGTGGATGAATGGATATTGGAATAGGAGAGAGTCCAGAAATAGACTTACACAGAGTCAGTTGATTCTGCAGCAAATGGCACAGGAACCCAATCTTTTTTAATGGGCAAAAGACTTAACTAGGGACCTCAGAAAGAAGAAATACAAACATGAAGAGATGTTCGCATCTTAGTCACCAGAGGGATGGAGTCTGAAACCACAGTGAGATCCCATTATGCATCCAGCCAAGCGGCTAATGTTAAAAAGACGGACAACATGAGGTGTTTGCAAGGATATGGAGAAACCAGAAGTCTCGCACATGACTTGTGAGAGTATAAAACGGTACGACCACTTTGGAAAACTGGTGTTTTCCAACACAGTTAATGCAGTCCCCAGAAATGCCACTTACAGGTTTTTACCAAAGTAAAACAAAAATGTATGGTCACACGAAGATACACACACAAAAAAATAGTGAAAATAAACAAACACCCCCCCCCAAAAAAAACTGCCAGCACAAATGTCGAATGGGAGGAGAACAGACACACAATTTGCAGCATTTCCGCAGAATAGAATACTAACCAACAAGACAGAGGGACAAACCACTGGTGTGTATAACAGTGTGAATGAATCTCAAAAATAGTGTGAGTAAAAGAAGCTAGATACAAAACAGTGCATACTGTATGATTCCATTTATATGGAATTCTAGAAGAGGCAAAATGATCTCCAGTGACAGAAATCAGAGTAGCAGTTGCTTTGAATGGGGAGAAGTGGGTACAAAGGACTTTTCTGGAGTGATAGAGATGTTCTATATCTTGACCGAGTGTTCATTACATGGGCGTGGATATTTTTCAAAATGTGTAGACTGCATTCTATGATCTGTGCATTTCATTGTATGTAAATTTCACTTCAATGAAAAAAAAAATGCAAAAATCCCCAAGGAATAACAGTTTCGTCAAAGATTTATGTGTGAGAGATCTTTAGAAGTCTTCCGACGTAGTCCCACATCAGTAACGACACTAAGAATTAGCACAACTACAATTCCACATTATCAAAACTCAAAAAACCTGGATGTGACCAAAATTGTTTCGAGGGCCATTTGTAACTCTCATTATTAAACATTTGTAACTGCGTTAGTATCTTGGATGTGACCGCATCCTCCCTTTCGGCTGGCAAGAACTCTCAAAACCTGCTCTCCCCTGGCAGTACGTATGGGGCTTAACAATGGGGGAGACATTATAATTCTCTTCATCACTCCTGACTTTGAACCTCTGCTTCTGAGTTCCAGATTTTTACCTCCTTTGCTCTTTTCACACGGCCTCTTTTCCTGGGGTGACATCCATAAAGCCAGCATAATATTTTCACTCAAGGTTGTGTTGTGGAGTCCACGTGGCTGGAGCTTTGAAGCCGGGGAGCATATTGCTTTCATTGGTCGTGTCTTACGTCTGATACCCCGTATCCGGCCGTGCCAGTGGGCTCTCTCCTTGCTGCTTGTCCTCTTTTACCCCTCGGCCTGAGGCAGCCCCCGGGACCGCCTCTCATCTCGTAGTTTCTCTCCTCGCCGATCTAGGCTGGGCTCTGGGGTCTAACTTTTGATGGGTCCCATCGTCCTCGGAGGT